CTCTACAATAAATAAAAAAAATTAGCCAGGCATGGTGGTGCATGCCCGTAGTTCCGGTTACTTGGAAGTCTGAGGGAGAAGGATCACCTGAGCCCAGCAGGTCAAAGCTACAGTGGCTGTGAATGTGCCACTGCACTCCAGCCTGGGCAACAGTCAAAGACCATGGATGAAGTGGACATTTATTTCGTTCTTAGCCACCCAGCATTCATTCTTTATTTTTTGGGGGGGGGTAACAGTATCCTAATTTAGAATATTTGAATTATCACTTCTTCCCTCATTGAATATAGTCTGGGGGAATGTCAGCCATGGTAGCTGCCCTCCTATAGTCCAGGAATAATAGGCACATGTCCCAAACTAACCCAACTAGATCTTGAATAAGGCAGTGCTTTTCCAAACTCTAATGTGCACCTGGAAGTCTTAATACAATGCAGATTCTGAGTCAGTGAGACCTGAGATTCTGCATTTCTTTTTCTTTTTTTTTTTTTTTTTTTTTTTTGAGTTGGAGTCTCACTGTTGCCTAGACTGGAGTGCAGTGGCTGCTTCCAGCCACTGCAGCCTTGACCTGCTGGGCTCCGGCGATCCTTCCGCCTCAGCCTTCCAAGTAGCTGGAACTACAGGCACGCGCTACCACACCCGGCTGATTATTTTGATTTATTGTAGAGATGAGGTCTCAAACCCGCAGGCTCAGGCAATCCACTCACTTCAGCCTCCCAAAGGCGTGGGATTACAGGCTGAGCCACCGAGCCTGGCTAGATTCTGCATTTCTAAAATCTTCCAGTTGATGTCAACGCTGCCGATCCACAGATCACCCTTTGAGTAGAAATGGAGTAAAGTGAGCATACAGCTAGAGTCCCTTCATCTGGATGCAGTAACCTTAAAAATTCATGGGCTCGGTGGCTCAGCCTGTAATCCCGCGCCTTTGGGAGGCTGAGGTGAGTGGATTGCCTGAGCCTGCAGGTTCGAGACCCGCCTGGACAACTTGACGAGATCTCATCTCTACAATAAATCAAAAAATCAGCCGGGCGTGGTAGTGCATGCGTGTAATTCTGGCTACTTGGAAGGCTGAGGCGGAAGGATCGCCGGAGCCCAGCAGGTCGAGGCTGTGGTGGCCGGGAGTGGCCACTGCACTCCAGTCTGGGTGACAGAGTGAGACTCCAACTCAAGAAAAAAAATAAAAATAAAAATAAAAAATCTGAATTTTAAAAAAGTCACTTTGGGAAGCCGAGGCGAGATGATTGCCTGAGCCCTGGGATTCCAGACCAACATGGGCAACTTGGCAAGACCTCAGTCTCTACAATAAATCCTTAAACTAGCCGGCGTGGTGGCATGCATCTGTAGTTCCAGCTACTTGGAAGGCTGAGGCAGAAGGATCACTTGAGTCCAACAGATGGAGGCTGCGGTGGCTGGGAGCATGCCACTGAACTCCAGCCTGGGTGACAAACAGTGAGACTCCAACTCAAAAAAAAAAAAAAAAGGCACTTTATTGAAAGAACAAATTAGAAAAATGAGCCTTTTCCTCCAGATAGAGACATATTTACAAAGGGGCAGCTGGCTTGAGTGGATCATGGGCTAGCTTTCAGCCCAGACCCTACTCATCCTCTGGACTGGACATCCTATGCAATACATAAACTGTACAACCATACACAACAGCCAAGGCAGCATGCACAGGGGAAATGACACTACCAGGTCAGTATCAGCTCCGCCACCTCCCAGCTAGGCAGCCTAAGGCCAGCTACCTTCCTTCTCTGAGCCTCAGTTTCCTCATTGGACAAATGGGAGATATTTACACCAAACCTATAGGGTCATTGAGAGGACTACAGGAGCTAATTTATGCAAAGCATATGATGGGGAATCCTGGAGAGGGTGAGGGTGGCGGGGGGGTGGGGGGGGGAGCAACCTGGGCCCTGCCCTAGGGAACACTCAGGCCTGATAGTGTATTTGTTCCCCTCATTTGGGTAAAATATTGGGAGCACCTATTTTAAGAAAAGTGGAGATAAGCAAATCTCACCCAGATCTTTGTTTCCTCCACCATGGAATCTGCTTCATACCAAATATGGCCCCAGATAGAAATCCTATAGGAGTGTTCTGCTACCTTGCTTAGGAGCTGAACAGTTCCAGGAATACTCAGCTACTAGGCCTTATTCACAACGATGCCTGTGTCCCTAGACATTACTTCCATCTCTGGCAATCAGGGGCTTCAATTGAGAGCTTTTTTTTTCTTGAATCAGGATCTCTGTCACCTAGGCTAGAGTGCAGAGGCACAGTCACTGCTCACCGCAGCCTCAACCTCCTGGGCTCAGGTGATCCTTCTGCCTCAGTCTCCTGAGTAACTGGGCTACAGGCATGCGCCACCACACCCAGCCTATTTATTTATTTACTTATTTATTTATTGAGTCAGAGTCTCATTCTGTCACCTAGGCTAGAGTGCAGTGGCAGATTCACAGCTACTTCAACCTTGATCTTCTAGGCCCAGGCAATTCTTTCATCTTAGCCTTACAAATTGGAACTACCACACCTAGCAACTTTTAAAATTTATTGTAGAGACGAGGTCCACCATGTTACCCAGGCTGGTCTCAAACTCCTGGGCTCAGGCAATTCTCTAACCTTGTCCTCCCAAAGCGCTGGGTTTACAGGCATGAGCCACTGTGCCCAGCTAATTTATTTTTATTTTTTGTAGTGATAAGATTTCATTATGTTGCCTACGCTGGTCTCAAATTCCTGGACTCAACCAATCCCCCTGCCTCAGCCTTCCAAAGTGCTGGGATTACAGGCATGAGCCACCATGCTTTTATTTTTATTTGTTTTTTTAAAGAGAAACTTTCTGAAATGACTACATCAGCTGATAGCAATCTGTCTCAGGTACACACTGAGAAATTCATATCTTGTCTTGCAGTTCTGTGAACAGTGAGTTTGCGACATCAAGCTCGGATAACCCCTTAATCACATTTCCTTCCAGCCACATAGCCTTTAATGAACCACAGCATTTGTAATACCAAGCCTTTTGAACATGACCTTCCAAGCAACCTGATGAACCAGGATAGGTTTTTTTTGTTTTTTGTTTTTGAGTTGGAGTCTCACTCTGTCGCCCAGACTGGAGTGCAGTGGCCGCTCCCGGCCACCACAGCCTCGACCTGCTGGGCTCCGCCGGTCCTTCCGCCTCAGCCTTCCAAGTAGCTGGAACTACAGGCGCGCGCTACCACGCCCGGCTAATTTTTTGATTTATTGTAGAGATGAGGTCTCGCTGCCCAGGCAGGTCTTGAACCCGCGGGGTCAGGTAATCCACTCACCTCAGCCTCCCAAAGGCGTGGGATTACAGGCTGAGCCACCTGAGCCCGGCGAGATCTTTTTTAATATGGGTGTTTTACAGATAAACATTTCTCTCTAAGTGCTGCTTTAGCTACATCTCATACATTCTGTTATGCTATGGTTTTTTTTTTGTTTTGTTTTTTTGAGTCTCACTCTTTCGGCCAGGTTCTAGTGTAGTGGCATGCTCACTGCCACTGCAACCTCCACCTGCTGGGCTCAGATGATCCTTCCGCCTCAGCCTTCCCAGTAGCTGGAACCACAGGCAGGCGCCACCACACCTGGCTAATTTTTTTGATTTATTGTAGCGATGAAGTCTTGCCAAGTTGCCGAGGCTGGTCTCAACCCCCTGGACTCAGGCTATTCTTTCACCTCTGCCTCCCAAAGTGTTGGGATTACCGGGCCCGGCTTTCTTATGCTTATTGTTTTTATTTATTTAAAAGTGTTTTCTAATTTCCTTTGTGACTTCTTCCTCTGACCCATTCGTTATTTAGGAATGCGTTAATTTCCACATATTTGAGAATTTCACAAGTTTGTCTTTGTTATTTATTTCCAGTTTCATTCCATTGTGGTCAGAGAACATACTTTGTATTATTTTAATCTTGTTAAATCTCGAGGCCTGCCTTACAGCCTAGGGTATGATCCGTCCTTGAGAATGTTCTTGTGCAATTCAGAAAAACATGTACAGTTATCCCTGGGTATATGTGGGGACGTTGGTTCTAGGGCTTCCCGAGGATACCAAAATCTATGGAAGCTCAAGTCTCTGATATAAAATGGTGTAATATCTGCATATAACCTACACACATCTTCCCGTATACTTTAAATAATATCTAGATTAGCCCGGCTCGGTGGCTCAGCCTGTAATCCCGCGCCTTTGGGAGGCTGAGGTGAATGGATTGCCTGAGCCCGCGGGTTTGAGACCCGCCTGGGCAACTTGGCGAGACCTCATCTCCACAATAAATAAAAACAAATAAGCCGGGCGTGGTAGCGCGCGCCTGTAGTTCCAGCTACTCGGAAGGCTGAGGCGGAGGGATCGCCGGAGCCCAGCAGGTCGAGGCTGTGGTGGCCGGGAGTGGCCGCTGCACTCCAGTCTGGGTGACAGTGAGACTCCAACTCAAAAAAAAAAAAAAAAAAATCTAGATTACTTATAATACCTAACACAGTGTAAATTCTATGTAAATAGTTATGCCATATTGTTTAGCGAATAATGGCAAGAAATAAAATTCTGTACATGTTAGTACCGAGGCTTTTTTCCTGAATATTCTGGATCCGAGGTTGGATCCGAAGTTGGTTGAATCCACGGATATGGAACCCACAAATACGTAGGGCCAATTGTATTCTGCTGTTGTTGGTTGCAGTATTCTATACACGTTAGGCTACTTTTTTAATATGCAGATTTTTGGTATTACGCTCACCAACTCCTCTGCCTCAAGGCCTGGAATCTGTATTTGTAATAAATTCCCCACATCTTCCCTGCGCAGTGGAAACCACTGACTCACACATCCTCCATGTCTGGTGTCCTTTGATTACGTGATTAACGGTGGTGGTGTCATTGATCGCTCTCACAGGCTTTTCTATTGCTCTAGTCTTGCTGCCAGGTCCAGCGAAAAGAATACTGTGTTCTCACGTTTGGCTTCCGGCTTGTTCTGCCTGCGCCGAGCTGAGAAGGGATTGGGCCACCTTGGCGTCACGTGGGCTGGGCCAGATAATGGCGGGCGCCGGGGATGATGCGCGATCGCTTTTTCAGGCTGGTATCCGTGCGGCCCTGGAGGCCTGGCCAGCCTTGCAGGTTAGTGGAGTCACGGCAGGGTCAAGGCTAGAGCCCGTGGCAGAACAGGAGTTGGCTGGGCGAGTCGCCTGAGGTTTGGCTGGGCGGCGGTAACTGACGTGGTGGGCTTGGGCCTGTATTTGCAGATCGCTGTGGAGAATGGCTTCGGGGGCGTGCACAGCCAGGAGAAGGCCGAGTGGCTGGGGGGTGCAGTGGAGGATTACTTCATGCGCAATGGTGAGTGAATGTTTAGGCGCTGCCACCCGTCTGTGTGGTGGTTGTGGAGAGGAGGAGCCCTGTCCTGAGAACCTGCACTTCCTCTCGAGCAATTGTAGGTCGGTACCTGAAGACGAGGTGGCGTGAATACAGGCTTTGGAGTCCTTGGTTCCAGTGCCTTACAGGCTCGTGCCACTGACTCATGGTATCACCCTGGACAACGCAGTTCTCCTTCCTGAAACTGTTTCCTTGTTCCTAAAGTGGGCATAAAAGAATCCACCCCAGCGCAGTCCAACAGAAGCATGCGGGTCACATCACGTCATTTAAAAATTTTTAGCAGCCATTCTAATAAAACAAAAAGAAGCAGATGAAACAATGTAAATTCAATTTGTCCAAAGTACTTAAATATGTAATCAGCATAAAATATTATTGAGATATTTTACCTCTTTCTTAGTATTAAATTTTCAAAATCTGGTATTTTACAGTTTTAGCACACCTCGATTTGGCGTAAGCCACATTTCTGGGGTTTTTTTTTTTTTTGAGTTGGAGTCTCACTCTGTCACCCAGACTGGAGTGCAGTGGCCACTCCCGGCCACCGCAGCCTCGCCTGCTGGGCTCCGACGATCCTTCCGTCTCAGCCTTCCAAGCAGCTGGAACTACAGGCTTCTTTTTTTTTTGAGTCGGAGTCTCACTCTGTTGCCCAGGCTGGAATGCAGTGGCGCGCTCACAGCCACCGCAGCCTTGACCTGCTGGGCTCAGGCAATCCTTCCTCTTCAGCCTTCCAAGTAGCTGGACCCACAGTCATGTGCCACCCCACCTGGCTACTTTTTTATTTATCATAGAGACGAGGTCTCACCAAGTAGCCCTGGCTGTTCTTGAACCTCTGGGCTCAGGCAGTCCTCTTGCCTCTGCCTCCTAAAGTGCTGGGATTACTGTGTGAGCAACTGCGCCCTGCTCTAAGCCACATTTCAAGTTCTTAGTAACTACATGTGGCTATTTGGATAGCAAAGATCTACCCTTTAGGCCTGTCTTGAGGGTTATACAAGAACAAGGGGCCCAGTAGAGGGCCTATTGCATAGTAAGGTTTTTACAAAATTTTTGTATTTTCCTAGCCTTGAAGATGACATTAGACAGAGTCATTTCTCTCAAGAAAGTGTACTATCTAGGGGCCATGAATAGGTGTTCTGATAAAGAGGAGCTCAGGGTGCATGGGGTAACAAGAGATTGGCAGGAAGGCTTCCTAGTGGAAGTGGTAATTGGGCTGGGTCACAAGGGATGTTAACTAGATGGGGGAGGCAGAGAGAGTGACATTCAAATAAGTTCTGTGAGTCAGGCTCGGTGGCTCAGCCTGTAATCTCGTGTTTTGGGAGGCCAAGGTGAGTGGATTGCCTGAGCCCGCGGGTTCGAGACCCGCCTGGGCAGTGAGACCTCATCTCTACAATAAATCAAAAAATTAGCCGGGCGTGGTAGTGTGCGCCTGTAGTTCCAGCTACTTGGAGGGCTGAGGTGGAAGGATTGCTGGAGCCCAGCAGGTCGAGGCTTTGGTGGCCGGGAGCGGCCACTGCACTCGTCTGGGTCAACTCAAAAAAAAAAAAAAAAGTTGTATGAGGATATAATTTGTTATATTTGGAAAGTAGCAGGGAACTTGGAGTAAGGGTGTGTGCACATAACTGGGTGGATGAGTGGTAGAGAAAGAAGCTGGGATGTGGGAAGCCCCCTAAAAAGGGTAAGATATGGAAGTCCTTATGTGCCTTTGATTTTATCATTTAGGCCAGTGTTTGCCAAAATGCATGCTATGGAAGACAAGTCCCATTAGATGTTCAGCAAAGAAAAAGCTTCTCCAAGCTGGGCACAGTGGCTCACGCCTGTAATTTCACCACTTTGGGAGGCAGAGGTGAGAGGATTGCCTGAACTCAGGGGTTCGAGACCAGCCTGAGCAACATGGTGAGACCGTGTCTCTACAATAAATCAAAAATTCAGCCAGGCATGGTGGCTCATGCCTGTGGTTCCTGCTACTTGGAAGGCTGAGGTGGAAGGATCTCCTGAGCCCAGCAGGTCGAGGCTGTGGTGGCCATGAGCATGCCACTGCATTCCAGCCTGGGTGACAGAGTGAGACTCCGACTTAAAAAAAAAAAAAGCTTCTCCAGTTACATTGTGTAAGATCTCTTCAGCTCCCACTTGAGTAGCAACACTCATGAACATATTAAAAGCTTGGATAAGAATAAGAACCACTAAAAAGAAACTTGTTTGCTTTTGTTTCCCATTAGCTTTCTATGGATAGCTTCCCTTAAAACCCAGCAGAACAGATATCTGAGGTATTTCTCAAAGGCAAACTATGAAACACTGCAGTAGATGATAAAAATTCACGGGCAGGTTCTAAGGTGAGTAATAGGATGAGATTTGCTGGCTCTGAAGTTCAGGAAGTAGTCCGTATGAAGCATGGACTGGAGAGGGAAAGACTGATGAAGATACTGTTTTTTGTCTAGAATATGATGAGGCTTGAAGTAGGGTAGTGGCAATAGGCATGGAAAGGAAGGAGTGGCTTAAGGCCTTGGAGATTGCTTGGCTGTGGAGGGGGAGAGACAAAGAGGTAGGTTTCTGGTTTGAATTGCTGGGTTGATTAGATGCCTTTCATGGAACATAGGAACCCTGAAGGATGAGAAGCAGGTTTAGAGGGTAAGGTGATGAGTCTGGCTTTGGATACAGAGGGTCTGAGGCGCCTGTGAAACATCCAAGCACAGAGAAGTCTTGAGTTTTGTTTTGTTTTTTGAGTTCGAGTCTCACTGTCTCCCAGACTAGAGTGTAGTGGCACGATCACGGCCACCGCAGCCTCCACCTGCTGGGCTCAGGTGATCCTTCTGCCTCAGCCTTCCAAGTAGCTAGAAGCACAGGCATGCGCCTCCATGCCTGGCTGATTTTTTTATTTATTGTAGAAACAAGGTCTTGCCATGTTGCTCAGGCTGGTCTCAAACCCCTGAGCTTAGGCAATCCTGTCGCCTCTGCCTCCCAAAGTGTTGGGATTCCAGGCATGAGCCACTGTGCCTGGCCAGAGAAGTCTAAGTTGGAGACGGATTTGAGGGATATTAGGTTTGAGTGGTAGGAAAGTCAGGAGGGTCGATGAGCTCTCCCAGGGAGAGTAACATAGAGGGAAGAGGGCAAGAAGTTTTGTGGAAGACTTTCTTGAATTATTCTGTAATTCAGAAAAAGTAGAGCATGGGTCCATGAGGTAACTGAAGCTCAGAGAGGAGGGTTTGGCCAAAGTAGCATAGTAGGATGCTGGTGTCAAGGATATGATTTTATCATTGAAATTACTACATCCATTTTTTCTTACCTATCCCATTAGTTTGTGGCCTCCACAGTGGAGCCACAGTTGTGAAGTGTTTGTACTTCAAAAACTTTAGCCCTTGAGTGATGGAAATTCCTATGGATTGTGGATCTCCCTTGTGCCATTCTCATAACAAACCTTTGAGGAGGCCACCATTAGCCCCACTTTACAAATGAGACAACTGAAGCTCAGTGAAGAGTAAGTAGCTTGCTCAAGGTCACATAGAGGGGGGGGGCTAGTTAGAATAGGCCAGGTGAAAGGGGGTGTGGGGCTGGGAGTTGTGAGATGATGACTTGGTAGGATATAAGAAATTGGAAAGTAGGTATTAATATTTAGTGGGTTTTAAGAAAAATCTTGCTAAACCTGGAATGCAGAGTACTTTAGCAAATAAAAAGCTCATTGTTTCGGCCTTTACCCACCAACCAGTCATGGACCTACCAAGTAGGTATTGAAAAGTAGTAGGCAAGGGTGATAAAGTTGGCTGGTCTTTGACCAAAGTGCCCTGTTCCTTCCTATTCAGCCAACCTGGAGCTAGATGAGGTCGAGGACTTCCTCGGGGAGCTGATGACCAATGAGTTTGACACTGTTGTGGAGGATGGGAGTCTGCCCCAGGTGAGCTTATTGTGGGCACAGGGCCATCTCCCTGCTTGCAGTTTTCAGCCAAGCTTTAACCATTCTGCTCTCCGGTTCTGCATAATACCCTGCTAATACTCCCTATTGTCTAGAGGAAAGGCTAGTCTTTCTAGGCCCTTCCAAACCTTTCCTTTTAAAAAAATTTTGTTTTATTATAGAGCTGTGGGGTCCAAGTGAGGATTAACTATATAAGTAGGCTGCATGCAGGTGAAGTTTGGGCTTCTAACTGCCCTTCCCCCTGGTCGTGGACCAGGTACCCTTTGTGTTGTTATGTGCCCCTCACCCTTCCTCTACCTCCCTTAAACCCTTCCTTTCTTTTTCCCCCATATATGATTCTGGTCGGGCCTGTTCCTCATCCCTTTCTCAAGGGCATGTCAGGCTAGGCTAAGTACATATTATCTCTGATCTAGTTAACATTAACCCCTCCCCACCCCATAACATTGCCTTCCCTTTTATATCTTCTGTCATTCAAAGCCCAATTTTAGTGTCTTGGTGAACTCCTTGGGTGAGGAAAGGGCCCTGTTTTCTTCTGGAAAATCCCATCCCGTTCCCCATGCTTGTGGCAAACATGGACTGGTTGTATAGATTTTCTGGAACCTGGCTGAACGTTTTCTTGGCAGGTGAGCCAGCAGCTGCAGACCATGTTCCACTACTTCCAGAGGGGTGATAGAACTGCTCTGAAGGAGATGGTCTCCCACATCACTCAAAGAAAGTACAAGGTCACAGCCACTACACTTAGGACAGCCAGACAGACTGAAGAGGATGATGATGCAGACAGCGTGGAAGAGATGGAGGTGAAGTGGGTGCCTGATGGGTAGAGGGTACAGATGTTTTCAATTTTCTGGGAGAGCAGCTAGATTCACAGGGAGTTGATGAGGGGGTTGATGGTGGTGGTGGTGGTATTATCCAGAGAGGACAGGGAACTTTCTTAGTCACATAGCCAATCCTGGAAAAGCTGTAAGCAGAGCCTGGATCTCCAATGGCCAGTGTATTTAGCTCTCGCTTGTATTTTCCCTCTAGGTCACAGCTATGAATGATGGAGCTGCTACAGATGGGGCCTGCCCTCAGCCTGAACCCTCTGGTCCAGATGCCCAGACTATTAAGGAAGAGGATATAGTGGAGGATGGCTGGACCATTGTCCGAAGAAAGAAATGAGTGGGGCTGGGAATGGTTTGGGCCCTTATTTGCTAGTTTTGAGACTTGTTTGTAAGGGCTTTTTTGGAGGGTTGAAGACCTCTGGACTGGTTACCCTGTCCCAACCCTCTTTCCTGTTCCCCTGTCCAGCTCTCCAGGGGAACAAAAACCCTAGGGTTTTTGGTCTTGCGGGTGGTGAGACCTAGTCCAGCAAACCCTCTTGGGCCTTAAGTTACCATCTGAGTGATGAGGCTGGGTTTCTCAGCAGTGTCTCTTGGGTGTAGTCACTGTGCAGAGGGGGATGAGTGAGTGTGGGTATGGCTGGAGGAGTACCTAGATGCTGGTTAACAGTGGGCAGGTGGATTTGTGGTGGGAAAAGGCCAGTAGTAAAACCAGCATTCAGTGCTGAGGGGCTGGCTGGGTCAGGAATGGTGAGATAAGCATGCAGATGCGAGATAACAGTTGAAGATATGAATGAAAGTGGCTGTGGAGCTCTTCCTTACCCCACCCCACCAGACACACACACAGCAGCTTTGTACCCTGCCCAGAACTTGGAACCTTTCAGGAATGCTTGCTTCCTGCAGCCCAGTCTCCACTCCTGGGTTTCCTCAGGAATTCTAAGACCTTGGCGAGGTGGTGAGCTTGGGAGAGCTGGGCTTTATTTTCTGTCTCCTACAATGTCTTTCCTCCTTTATCCCACCCTGTTTAAGTCCAGGGATGAGGCTTAAGATGCCAATAAATAATGCCTCATTGTTTAATCTGTGACTTTGCCTGTGAATAGCCTTGGAATCGGCCTTCTGGGAGCTGAGCTTCAGAGTTCAGCAAGAGAGAAGTTTCTGGGCCTATCCTAGCACCCTGGTACTTTGGAAATAGATGGACAGAGTACAACAGTGCTCTGAAAGTTACTGTAAGCCTGAAATAAATTGTATTTTTCTTAAAAAAAAAAAAAAAAAAAAACCAACAACAAAACAGTTATTCGTTGTCCTCCCCCGTTTCCCCTGTCCTGCCCAGTGGCCCTGCCATGGGTTTGGACGATAAAATACTGGGTAGTCTTGGGGCCAGGTAGAAGCTGTAAGCCATGGGAAAGACAGGAGGGGTCAGTCACCACCCAGAGTCATGTGAAGACACTGGCTAAGGAAGCAGGGATGGGTTAGGGTCCCAGGGTCAGTGGCAGAACTGGCACTTGGTCAGGTCTCCTGCCTCTGATTCTTTGGGGGCAAGTGGGCGGAGGCAAGATCTGTAGTAGGGTGATGGGGGGAAAAATGGCCTTATTCAGGCAGGTCTAGCAACAGCTCCCACCCATCCTGGGGACAGAGATTTTAAAAAATTAACATTACTGTAGGAATATATTTTTTAAAAGCCCATGTTTTGTGAAAAGATGAATTAAAAAACCCAGGACCCAGCATTCGGGATTGAAAGTGCCCGTGATGGGAGTTCAAGTATTAACTAAGCTGGGAAGGAAGGGGCTGGAGCCCCCCAATCAGACATGGGCAGCTAGAGTGTGGGGGGTGGGGGCTGGGGGCTCTCAGTTTGCCTCAAACCCTCTAGGTCTTATCTCGGGCCTGGGGGGACTCTGGGGGTTCAGCAGTGGCTCCTGAAGCAGCCACTGGTGCCTCTTCCATTTCCCTGTCTTCAGACAGTGTGGGCCCTGGGCAGAACGTGTCCCCACGGCCCGCCCGGCCAAGCACGGCCATCCAGCGTCGTTGTAGCTCCTCTGTCTCAGGGCTGAAGTACCAGCTGAGGTGGCTCTGGGTGATCTTGAAGACATGTCGTCTGTCAGGCCGCTCCCCTGCCTCTGGAGGCCCCACCTCAAAGCCAATGAGGGGCAGGCTGCGCTGGGCTTTCACATCCTGGGGAGAAGGGACAGAGCTGGGGTCACCTTGGTCCTGAACCTTCTCTTGGTTTTGCATCTGCTCCCCTCTTCGTTCCCCTGCTCAAGAACCTGTGGCTCCACTGTTTTCAACAGCAAAATGGCTGAACTGGTGCTAAAATGCAGGCAAGGTTCAAATACCTATCTCCTCCCACACCCCAAGTAATGCTTTCAGGCCTTTGTTTTTGCTGTCATCCCTATCTGCATACTGTTACCCACTCCAAATTGAACCTAATGGTGCCCTGTTTTCCACTCCTGCTTCCTTCAGGAAGCCAGCCCCCCAACTCACTCCAGTTTTCTCTACATATCTTGGCCCACAATCACTCCTTGTCTCTAGCTGGTCTTTGTCTAGAATGGATGGGGGGGGTCTGATCTCCCCTTGGGTAGAGCTAGGTTCACCCTACTCTCCAAGGCCCAGGAGCGGTCAAAGATGGGAGAAAGGGCAGCCTGACTTTACTGGGTGGCTAAAAGGATCCAAAGGAGTAGGATGCACACCTGAGGGGCTCCATAGATGTACAGCACCAAGGGTTCATTCTCAGGGACCACGAACCATGCCTTGTGCCATCCTTTCCCACCCTTCTCCATGTAGTGCAGGAAACTGCAGATGACGCTGTTCTCCGCAGCCACTGAGGCCTGTTTCTGTGGCCAGAGATACAGGGGCATCAATGTTGACGGAAGGCCTAGTCTAGTTCCTCTTGGCTTTAACACTCCCCGAGCGTAGGGGCTGCTATTCCCATGTCTCTGATGATTTGCCCAGTGTCACCCAGCAAGTCAGCTAGAGGTGAGATTCAAAGCTAGGTTTGTCTGCCTGATTTGGGCCCTGACTACTGCCTCTGAGAGCCAGTGGAAAGGATGTACAGATCTCAGTGGCGACATCTAAATGCCAGTCTGGTGTTTTTTCAGTCCATTTATTCCTTAAGTCATTCATACATTTACACCTCATATTTTTTCATCTTTCATCACACATTAATTCCCTACACTCAGTGAGAGGCAATCAAGCATTGTGGGGGTGGGTAGGTGGTTAATGTAGTCTGGTTCAGAATCTGAGCTCTAGATAAAAAGGTATTGACTTGGAAGGAGAGCAGAGAGGGCTGTTGTGAGGATTAAATGAATTAATAGATGCAAAGTGTTTAGAACAGTTCCTGGGACAGAGTAAGTACTCTGAGTATTAATAAATACCTCAACTTTAAAAAAAAACAAACAAAACCAAGGATGTATGTATGTGCACATACCCAGCAAGATAGGAAAGTTAAGTGTTAACATGGTAACTTACGAGTAGAAGGAATATGATGTTTTATTATTTTTTGTTTATATTGTCCTACCTATCCTACTTTGTCATAAGAAAAGGCAATTTGTCAACTTTTAAAAAATTCTAGCTCTGCCACTCATTTGCTGTGTAACTTGGGCAAATAACCTCTCTGAGTCTCAGATTCTTTATTTGTAAAATAAGGATAATAGTATGAACAGATGAGTTACTCTGAAGATTAAATGGCTAAAGCACTTCAACAAAGGTTACTCTCTTTCATTCACTCTTGCGCTCATTTTACTCACTCCCAAGTCTGAGTCACTTGATCAGCAGATGCACAGTACCCTACTGTTTAAAGAGATGCCCAGGCTTGCTCAGTCATGCTGGGTAGGTGGTTGGAGCCTATCTGGTTGCTGTGGGAGAGTCAGGGGCCTGGCTCTTACCTCCAGGATGGACCTCCGGCGCTGGGGTGTATGCTGGCTGCAAGCTGGACTGCTCCCAGGCACCCCGTGCAAGGCCACGTAGCAGTCAGTGCACACACGGTTGGAGCGGTTGTTGTCATAGACGAGGCGGGCCCGGAACTCGGAGCACTTCCCACAAACCACCTGGGGTGGCAAGTGGGCAAGAGCAGCCTTGATTCCAGCGGGCCTTCCCCTTTAGCATATCAACTCTCACAGCAAACTTGTGGCCTCCCCCCACTTAGAGGGCACCCACTCAGAAGTGGCTTTCAGGGTTCCAGTCTGTTCCCTCCCTAGCTCTGCCCTTGCCTCCCAACACTCACATGCCCACAGGCCTTGCAGTGGTGCCTGCGTTTGGTGATGGAATTGAAGGGCTCCTGGCAGCGCATGCACATGGTGACTTCCTTTTCCCGGATAGGTGTAGGTGCCCGCTTCCCAAGATCCACGTTCTGGTGGGAAGGGCCAGGTCCCAGGTCAGAGACAGCTACTCCCCACCCATCCAGCCAGCCCTCATCCCTGCTTCAAGGCTTGGATCATCATGGGGGTGGGGCAGCAGACTCATTCAAAAGACCTATATTTGATTCCTGGCTCTGCTCCTGCCTCCCTGTGCATGTCACTTTTAATTTTGGGGCCTTGGTTTCCCCAATGATTTCTCTGTGGCCCTACCAACAGAAGACTGTGCTTCTGAGTTCATTCACTGCCTCTCTGGTTTTTATTCTCTGGAAGGTGAAAGGATCATCTTAAGGTCAGGTGGGGATCTGGAAGCCTGGAAGGGGTCCCAGTGCAGGAGGGGAGAGTGGGGATACCTACTGGAGAGTTGGGGGGGGTGTCTTCATCTTCCCTGTTTGTTGAGTTCAATAGTTTGAAGGTCTCCAGCGTCTGTTCATGCTTCAGGAGGGTGGAGTTGATGGCCTGGGGATGAGAGGTCAGATCATCCTACAAACCAACCATTTCCTCCCTCACCTCACCTTGCTATGTATGCCCTAGCCTGATGTCAGGAAAGTTGGATTCAAGGCCCATCTCTGTTCTTGCTACACATATGACCTTGAGCAAATCCCTTCCCAAATTCAGATCTTAGTGTTACAATTGTAAAATGGGGCGGAGGATGGAGCAGTGGTTCAAGAACATCAAATGGCTTTCCTGGCCATTGTCTGCGCTTAAGATTTTACAGGGCTTGACTCACTGGGATTACAACCTCAGAGAAACCAGCTTTCTAAAAGAAGGGTTTGTGAGTTTTTGCTTAACCTCTGGACTTCAGTTTGCTTATCTGTAAAATAGGAATGGTAAAGTTTGTTGGAAGGCAGGACATGAGCTTTGGGGGAGAGTCCACTAACCCCTAGGAAACCTGTTAATAATCTTCCAGCCCCCTACCACAAAGCCTTCTTGGATGTTACCTGGACCCAGTCTTTCTTCTCCTCCTCAGTCCTTGGGGGAAAAAAAGATGTTGGGTTAGGCAGGCCAACAACAAGCAATTAGAGTGATAAAGAGCAGGTGTTTTGGAACCAGAGAGACCTGGGTTTGACCCTCTGTTTCTTCACCTATTACTTGTGTGACCTTGGGAAAGTCACTTAACCTGATGGGGTTTATTTATTCAACAATGACTAATACCTTCAAGACCCTGTGGTAGGAACTTGGGCCTCAGAGAGGACTCTGCTTCAAGGAGCTCATGATCTAGTAGAGGAGACAGAGACAATTCATGGGGCTCAGTGTCATGACAGGTTGAAAATAGGGCTGAACAGCCCAGAGGAGAGGATAGGGCCCAGTCTGAAGTTTGGGTAGGGGCTTTTAAGGAAGGTTTCCTCAAGGAGGTGCTAGGGATATGCATGAAGTGTGTGAAAGAAGTATGTGGAACATACAAGAAACCACATCAATTATTTCCTGTTCCTGGGATGACAAGCTTGAGAAAGGAGGGTAGTTTATTCTTTTTTCTGTTTGTAGATGGAAATGATGATTATCACTCTCTGGGTTGTCCTGAGCAGTAACTGAAATGATGTGTAAAGTGCCCACGACAATGTCTGGTAACCTAGGTGCTCAATCAATGTGTGTTTCCTTTCCCTTTGCCTTCCTTTCCAGACTCTCTTGTCTGCGCTTCGGTCTCCAAGGGCTTTGCCCTGGTGCAGCCTCATCAAGTGTTCACTAGGAATGGGACCCTAGCCTCTCTGTTGCCTCCCATCTAACCTCTTCTAATTTCCTTCCATAACTATACTCCAGAATCAAAAGTACTTTTCTAATATTAAAGCTTGGTCAGGGCATGGTGGCTCATGCCTGTAATCCCAGTGCTTTGGAAAGTCAAGGTGTGAGGATAACTTGAGGCCAGGAATTTATGACCAGCCTGAGCAACATAGCAAGATCCAGTCCCTACAAAAAAAAAAAAAAAATTAGCCAGGCATGGTGATGTGCACCTGTAGTCTCAGCTACTTGGGAGGCTGAGGTAAGAGAACTGCATGAGCCCAAGTTCCAGGCTGTAGCAAGCTATGATCACACCATTGCACTGCAAGCCCGAGCAACAGAGCGAGAACCTGTCTCTAAAAAATAAATATATAAATAAAATAAAATAAAATGAAAAGAAAGTCTGACTACATCCTTAGAACCACTTCATAAAAAATTAAGGATATGGGCCAGGTGAGGTGGCTCACGCCTATAATCCCAGGACTTTGGGAGGCTGAGATGAGAGGCCTGCCTGAGCCCATGGGTTCAAGACCAGCCCGAACAACTTGGTGAGACCCCCCATCTCTAAATCAAAATATTGGCTGGGTGTGGTGGCGTGTGCCTGTAGTTCCAGCTACTTGGAAGGCTGAGGCAGAAGGATCATCTGAACTCATCAGGCTAAGGCTGCGGTAGCCGGGAGTGTGTCACAGCCCTCCAGCCTGGGTGACAGAGTAAGACTCCTACTCAAAACAAAAAATTTAATATTTAGCTATAAGAATGTTCATTGCAATGCTGTTATAGTGAAAAATTTGAAGTAGCTTAAGTATCCAACAATAGGGGGTCAGGTTAAAAATAACAATGGTACACCACTACTGTAAGAGACTGTTGATGTAGAAAGATGTTTATAATACATTAAGTGAGAAGAACATACATAAATTATCTGGTATCTCATTTAAAAAAAAATATGAGTGTTTACATTTGTCAAAACTCATCCGTGGTATACTTAAGACCTGTATGTTTCACCATACCAAAACTGTGACTCATGAAAAGGGGGGACTTTAAACACATATTGGACTCTAGTTAATGGCTTGTATGCCAAACTCTTTTTTTTTTTTTTTGAGTTGGAGTCTCACTCTGTCACCCAGACTGGAGTGCAGTGGCCGCTCCCGGCCACAGCAGCCTCGACCTGCTGGGCTCCGGCGATCCTTCCTCCTCCGCCTTCCGAGTAGCCGGAATTACAGGCATGCGCTACCGTGCCCGGTTGATTTTTTGATTTATTGTAGAGATGAGGTCTCGCTGCCTAGGCGGGTCTCAAACCCGTGGGCTCAGGCAATCCACTCACCTCAGCCTCCCAAAGGCGCGGGATTACAGGCTGAGCCACCGAGCCCGGCTTAATTTTTTTGATTTATTGTGGAGACGAGGTCTCGCCAAGTTGCTCAGGCTGGTCTCGAACCCCTGGGTTCAGGCAATCCTCTTGCCTTGACCTCCCAAAATGCTGGGATTACAGGCTTGAGTCACCGTGCCCAGGTCCTATTGTATTATTCTAAAAGATTTTTTATCTATATTTTCTCATTTCTCTGCAGTGAACAAGTATTGCTTTTTATTTTTAAGAGCCATAATAGTGTTTCTGGTCATTTATGCTGAAATATATGGGGTGAAGTGTCATGATATTTGTAAATGACTTTAAAATGTTTCAGTAAGAGACATATATGGCAAAATGTCAATAGTTGGTGGCTCTTAAATTATTGGTTCTAAACCCTGATACACACATTAAAATTATTTAGGAAGCTTTAAAAACTCTTCAAATTCAGATTATACACCAGACCAATTAAACCAGAATGTCTGGAGGTTGGTCCCAAGCACCAGTATCAGTTTATATTATTTTATTTTTTGAGTTAGAGTCTCACTCTGTCACTCAGGTTGGAATGCAGTGGCATGCTCATGGCCACTGCAGCCTTGACCTGCTGGGCTCAGGCAATTCTTCCACCTCTGCCTTTCAAGTAGCTGGAACTACAGGCGTATGCTATTACGCTCTGTTAATTTTTTGATTTATTGTAGACACGAGATCTTGCCAAGATCCCCAGGCTGGTCTCAAACGCTTGGGCTCAGACAATCTTCTTGCCTCTGCCTCCCAAAGGGCTGGGATTACAGGCGTGAAGCCACTGTGCCCAGTCTATCAGTATTTTTTTTAAAAGCTACCCCTCTCCCACCCTCCCACTGATTCCAAAGACTTCCAATGCTAAGAACCAGTTGTTTAAGTTGTGGGCATATTGGTGCGTGCTATACTTTTACTTTTCTGGATATTTGAAAATTTTCCTAAAAAAAATATTTTAAGGGCAGATTGTAAAGCAAACCCTCCATGTCCTCCTGCTGCCACTAGGAGAAAACTCCACACTGCTTGGCAGCCCCTTCTGAGTCTAGCGTCCCTTTGCAAACTATGTGTTCCTGTCATGTGGCTTGTCACTTCCCTGGATGTACAGGGTGCCTGCTTTGCTCTCACTTTCCCTGCTCCAGGACTCCCTGAGGTTCTCTCAGTTTCCTTGAACTTTAAGGTTTGCTTCATCCTCCAGGAGGACACCCTCTAGCCCACATTCATCTCTCTCTTGCACTTCTACGCTATCCCAGTCTGTCATTTCTCACTTCCTCACAGCCTGTCAGAACCAGGCCATCTACTGATGTGTATCCATTCTCTGATCCTGACCATGACCTTGATACCCTTTCACCTGGGTTCTCAGAAGGCAGTGTGGACAGTAGTTAGGAATCTGAACTCCAGAGCAGGGATGGCTTTAGGTCCAGTTCCAGCTCTGTTCCTTTCTAGCTCTAAGATCTTGGGCAAGGTGTATAACTGTTCTGCGCCTCAGTTCCTTTATCTGTAAAATGGGTTGATGATAACAGTAGCTACACTTCAAGGGTTGTTGTGAGTATTCAACTAGTCAATTTAAACTTAAGTCAAATTTAACTTAAAATAGTACCTGGCACAAAAGTAAGTCTTTCATGAAATATGAGCTATTATTATAATCATCCAAATAGAGAATGAATATGAAAGCCCCCTTTGTTAAATGGCTGGGAATTTTACCCATGCTATTATTTTAAAGTTTTTGTTATAAAAAATTCAAGGGGACCTTAAACAACTATCGTAATACTATAAAAAAGGATTGATAGTAGCGGGAAACTGCGAGGGGTGGTGGGCAGAGAGGTGGGATTGACAGTAGTGGAAATCTGCCTGGGGAAGGCGGGGCACACCTTATCAACAAGGGTACCTGCATAATGAATATTTGTATACTTAACCCTGAATTGTACCCCACAATTTTCAAATAAAAAAATTTAAAAGGTAAAAAAATTCAAGTATATAGAAAAGTAGACAGGATAGCACAGTTATAGTAAATATCTATATACGCACTATATAGATGCAAAAATTTTCTATATTTTGCTATATTTACTTCATATACAAGGCGGAACCCAAAAAAATGGAATTATTTTTTGGAAGGCAGGTCCCTTGTAGTACAGGCTTCTCCTGCCACATAAGCATTCTAGGAGTGACTATTTTTTTGTTTCCCTGGATGAAAAAAAGTCCTCAAAGGGAAACATTTTGCCAGTGTGGAAGAGGTGAAACAAAGAATGGCAAAAGCACTGAGTGGAAAAAAATATCTCAATAGGTGTACTGCATCAAACAGATAGTACTTTGAAGGTGACTGAAGTTTAAATATGCAAAAATAAATATACAATTTTTAATAAATCAATTCTGGATATTTTGGGTCCCCCATATATATATATAGAGAGAGTCAAGCGTCACTTAATGGTGGGGATATGTTCTGAGGAAATTTTGTCATTGTGCGAACTTCACAGCTTGTACTTATAGAAACCTAAACAGCATAGCCTACTACATGCCTAGGCTATATGGAATAGCTTATTGTTCCTAGGCTACAAACCTGTACAGTGTGTTACTGTAGTGAATACTGCAGATAATTGTAACACAATGGTATTTGTGTATCTAAACGCATGTAAACATAGAAAAGGTACAGTAAAAATATGGTATTATAACCTTATGTATGGGACCACCATGCTAAATGTCATCTGATACTGACTGAAATGTTATTATGTGGAGCATGATTATATATGTGTATGTATGTATATATGTGTATATAGATGTATGTGTACATGTGTGTGTATACATATATATTTTCTGGGTGACGAACCATTTAAAAATAATTGAGAGAGCCGGGCTCGGTGGCTTAGCCTGTAATCCCACGCCGTTGGGAGGCTGAGGTGAGTGGATTGCCTGAGCCCGCGGGTTCGTGACCTGCCTGGGTAACTTGGCGAGACCTCATCTGTACAATAAATCAAAAAGTAGCTGGGCGTGGTAGCGCGTGCCTGTAGTTCCAGCTACTTGG